GAAAGTTACAAGTTTTTGCTGTGCGATTTGTCGATTTCAACTGAGCGAACGAGTAGTAGAAATTCATAGCTTTATTGTAATTTCGGTATTTATGCCTTTCGTTCAGGAAGAATTAGTTTTTATAAAAAAAAAGCAAATTTTAAATAAGAACTTTTTTTTTATAGCTTAGTTAGATGGTTGGACGAGCTCACCTGGTGTTAAGTGGTTACTGGAGCCCATAGACATCTACAACGTAAATGCGCCACCCACCTTGAGATATAAGTTCTAAGATCTCAGTATAGTTACAACGGCTGCCCCACCCTTCGAACCGAAACGCATTACTGCTTCACGGCAGAAACAGGCAGGGTGGTGGTACCTACCCGCGCGGACTCACAAGAGATCCTACCCCCAGTAAACCAGTTATGTTAATAACATAACTTAACTTGAAACAAACAACAAAAGGTCAAATATGGAATAATCTACACATCAAATGTATAGCCTACAGTAGCCAGTTTGTTAGTTAAAATTTTCTATTATTGAGACACCGATAAGAACACGCAACGTAAATAATGAAGTCAAGGTTTTCGACTTCTAAACTTGAACTTCAAACAAAAAATGAAATTTTACAAAGTGCGCGATTTGAATATAATTATTGGTTCGCTTAAATATTGTAGTATATAAAGCTGATTTAAAATGTAGATATAAATTATGTTTGTACTGTAAGCTGCAGCTAATTCTACAAGCTTTCATATTTAATGTAATATCTAATGTGCAAATGAAGAGAAAATTGACGTTCTGAAATCAAATAAACTAGTGGTCGCCCGGTAGTCGAAATTCGACTATAATTAATTGAAATTATAAGTTTGTACACTATTAAGATTCTATTTTCAAAGACTGTACTTCTTTAATCACAAATTTCGCCAAGACTACGCTATAGAAAAATATTAATAAAGACAAACAATATTTAATCTATTCTCAATTTGAACAGACGTCAAGAACAAAAGTTTGACAATAAATAAATAGTATGCATGCGTGTGTGCGTCAAATACATGATAGTGTGTGTAATGTTTTTTTATTGATTTAATGTATTTTTTAGGCATAATTTATAAAAATATTAGCATTCTGCACTCCTCTATATTCTCTATAAGTGTGGGAAATTTCATACTCCTCCGTCCGCGCAATTTTCGTAAAAAGGGATTCAAAGTTTTTCCTTCGCGTATTAAATATATAGATACACTAAATAGCGAAGTACGCGCAAATAGACGTAATAGTTCATAATAATACTTGGTATGCACTCTTAGACAGCGTATGAGACATTAAATTATTTTAGTCCAAGTTATCGACCTGTCTTGGCCTATGGCGCCCGGTGTACGCGAATATGCCGGTGTTCAAATCCCGAAGATGGTCATCAATTTTTATAAGAAAATTCGCTGAATAAATAGCATTGTGTAATAAAAATCAAACCTATAAAATTTATTAATTGGCATACCAATAAAAACTGTCACTATCATAAATATTTTTTTTTTTTTAAAACATGAACCTGAATGTTTTAATATGTTTTCCTTGCTATCTACGCTTCGATATGTATTACCAAGGTTCATTATTGGCTATTTTTAGGCTGTATATTTTAATATTCTGACCATTTTAATAACTTTTCGCTGCACTTTCTCTAAAATATCAATCTTTCTTCATGAGGTTTCATAAATAGAGATACTCCAAGAATATGTAAGTTTTATAGTATCTTCATGGAATTTGCTCTTGAATCTCAATCTTAGGTCGCAGCTACCAATCTATACATATAAATAGAATTGGAGTGTCTGTTTGTAATATTGAAATAACAGCTTTTTACTACATGCATATAAATAGGTATATATACGGTACAGACACCAAAATAGTTTTTTTTACAATTTTTGTCTGTCTGTTTGTTCCGGCTAATCTCTGAAACGGCTGGACCGATTTTGACGAGACTTTCACTAATAGGTAGCTGATGATATAAGGAGTAACTTAGGCTACTTTTTTAAGATTAGCTTCGCCCCGCGGCGTCACCCGCGGTACGACTATAACCGCGGGTAACATCGCAGGAAAAAAAAATTATGCTTGCGAAGCGAGGGCGGGTCGCTAGTTCGATAATAAATAAAAATGATTCCGTTGTTTTGGTACAAGTCACTAATATCACATAATTATATTTATAATTATAATGTTCATACTTGGCAAGGATACTCAATATGATTACTGGTATATAGATTAATACAGGAATTTATCATAACATTTTTGATTTAACAAAGTCTGTACAAAAATAAATGAAAGTCATTATAAAAACGGCGATCGGTGTCAGAATCAGATGTGATGGTGGGTAACAAACTAAGCAATAGGTAGTGAGTAATTTCACGGCAGATCAATCAGTGGCGTGCGAAGGTCAGACCTCGAGGAGCCATAGATACAAATGTTGTACTGTTGTCTACATTGTAAGTTCATGTTTTTAATATTCATTCAAGTTAACAACCCGAAACTGCTTGCGCGGGAGCGGAATATGTTTATTTTGTATTGTGTTATCGAATGTGACTTAGTAATTCTATTGTTAAGTAAAGTAAAAAAAAAAACGTGTAACAAAGCCTCCAGCTTCAAGGAGTTTTTAATAGTAATTGGCGTTCAAGATTATTTTAACTTGTTAGATCATTTACTTGTCTATTGGAAGATAGTAACAATTCCCATAGAGTTTTTCGACGGATCTTTTCAGTGGGTCGCGATTTCGAGCCGGTGGTAGATTCTGCGAAGCACCACTATCTCTGGGGCTAGTATTAGCAAATTCCTTCAATACTTCCCGTCCGGTCGTAGCTGAAATAGCCTCCTAGGCTACCAACGAATAGGTATGGTAGAAAAGTAGCATGTTGTAAACAGATACACATAGTAAATCAAACCAAATTGTCAACGATCGAATTCATTACAAATGATGAAATAAACAAAAAATGACTATAAATTAGAACTCGCATCTATATCTTTATTGTGTGTTTTACATCTTGCGAGTCTTTTTGTTCGATAATACCTACTATTATGATTATTTGAAATACGTATTTGAAAATCATCTGTATGATATGATATGACGATATGATGTTCGTTTGTATATTAAGGTATGGTAAATAGCTACGATATACATTTTATTGTAAGATTGAGCGTGAATAGCAAATTCTATGTTATATCTTGTTAGCAAAACATCCAGGTTCCTATATATGTTGGAGTATGCATTTTTAAGGGAGCCCTATTTCAAGAAACAACATTGATATACCTATTTTGAGCACCACATTCTTTAAAAAAGTCATTGATTAACAATTACTAACAAGAGATCATCAGAAATATGTAACATTATCGTAAGTGTATTTATACGTAGGGATTGAATATTGAATGAAATCGCGCCTGCGATAAAATCAACTGTCATAAATTTGTAGCGATGATTTTATACAGTGGGCGTAATATCACCTGTTTGTTGCATCGGGTCTATCATAATAACGTTACTATATTTTATGGATGAAAACCAACTGGATTGGATAATTTGTTGCTTTTTGGAACTAAACTAAGAGGTCCCGTTATTTATTAATATTATTAATGAGAAAATTCAAGGTTGGTTTCACAGCTGTATATAGACAGATAAGCTATGCAGATAAGTTGGTGTTAGCTGGTAGGTATGGTCACAACGTGAATGCGGACGTCCACCTTGAGACTCCACACGGATTTCCTCCCGGATTAGGAGGAATCTCACACCCCCGATTACTCTCTTTAGACAACCCATACCCTGGGCCAGGAAGGTCAAGTACCTGGGCGTTACCCTGGATGCATCAATGACATTCCGCCCGCATATAAAATCAGTCCGTGACCGTGCCGCGTTTATTCTCGGTAGACTCTACCCCATGATCTGTACGCGGAGTAAAATGTCCCTTCGGAACAAGGTGACACTTTACAAAACTAAAAAAAAAAAAAAAAAAAAAACCTTGAGACTAGAATATTGGTATTAGGCGAATTCCATCTAATTACCGAGTATTCGTAATACTTCTGCAAGGTTCGTAGAAATGGTTGAGGAAGAGGAGGCCGAGACGCGTCCGTAAGTAAATAAAGTTATGTTAAGAAATTACGAGTTTCTGACCATGGCTGTTGAGTGTAAGCATGAATTCTGTTCAACCCAAAAATCTGGTTCATTGGTATAAATTCAGAATTGTGTTTTCTATAGAATCGTGCTATGTCCTTGCGTTTTTTTTTTTATTGCCCTTGTAGGCAGACGAGCATACGGCCCACCTGATGGTGAGTGGTTGCCGTCGCCCATGGACTTCAGCAATGCCAGGGGCAGAGCCAAGCCGCTGCCTACCGTTGTGTATTATAGATAAGCCTAAAGATACTCAATAGATACTAAGGGAAAAAGGAAAAAAAAATCTGGTACTAACATAACTTAGAAGATAGATGTGAAATATTGAAATTTAATTTTTTCTCCATTAACATCATTATGGTAAGGCTAGATACTACTAGGCTAGATACCACCATCTTGCCTACATTTGCAGTGAAACAGCCATTGGCTCTGATGCTAGTAGACCCATTATAAAATTCAAAATTTGATTTCACGTTGCAAAATGAAGAGGTTTCAAGAAAGATTAATTGCTATCAAAATGGGCTTTACATATTTATTATTTCTGAAGCCGCGAACGTAATATCTAGTGAACTGTCTTCATCACTGTAAAGTAAGTTTTAATTTCGAACATTATTTATTTAAAATTTTGCCCATATCAAACCACAAGATAATGTATAATCAGAAAAGCATATTTCTATAGATGCCACGATCACAATCAACAAATTTTATTATAAAAATTTATCAGAATTGAAACAAGAGAAGTAGTTCCATTTAAATAAAAAATTCTTGGAAAATCATAACGAGATATTTATATGCATTAATCACTTTTAGTTACGTAATGTACTTAGGAGAACTACAAATGAGATATTAATCGTCATCAATATTTAATGGTATCAATATATAAACATACCTTTTATAATTTCAGTGGACGATACAATAACATCACTCTCATCCATTCTCGTCTTATGACAGAGTAGCACGGGTGATTTCTTCAGTTTGATAAACTTTTAAGATATAATGTAATACATATTGCACTGCTTACTTATGTAAATATTCAAATGAAATTTAATAATGCCATATAACAAACAATGATCCTGTGAACAAAGATATGTTATGAATATTTTTAAATTTACATATTGCTATTTTATGATTTATATTAAATATATATTTTTTATATTAATTGTTTAATGAAGAATGAGTTAATATTTTAGTTTAGAGTTAAGTGGTTAGTATCTGACATTTTAATAGTATGTTACATACCAGTTGGCATACTAACTATACACAGGCTCTGACTCTGATTTTCATAACAGGAAAATTGGATATTGGGGCACCATATAAAACTTTTCTCAATATATCTATTAGTGTCAAAGACAGTCTTAACAGCTCAGAGATTTGTTATTGTGTTCCTTCTTAAAATCCTACAATTCCTATTATTCTATTACAAATGATACTTCAATTTAATTCCTGAATAATGTTTCTTGTGGTTTCGGTAGCCTCCTGAACACCAAGCGGACTAATAAAATACTTACAGATATATTTTTATTATACTTTCAGAGAAAATATATTTATTATTAATCTGAAACAGTTTCTGAAATCTCTGTCAACATTTTCAGCTTACAACTATTTACAAAAAAATTGCTTTATGATTAAATACATAATGTTACATTATTTAAATAAAATGTTATAGAAAGTTTTTTTTCTTTTTGTTACTAAAGGAATTAAATTAAAAGAATTCCTAAAATTTAATTTATAAAATTGCTCTATTTTGTATGTCAATATCTGAATGTGATTTATGGGTATTGTTCTTATATTGTATGCTTAAGTTGAACTATGTGTAAATTAGTTATTATTATATTAAAATGATTGAAAACTAGATTTTATTGTTTTGGTTTAAATCCTTAAATTGTTTTTAATGCGATTTTTCGCTCTTTACATTTTCTACAGTGCAGATGTTGATTGATATTAATTAAATAGTAGTGATGGGTACTCACATTCAATTGACTGCAAATGCGACAAGCAAAGACATCTGGGGATTTAGGTGATTTTCATATTAAAATTAAACAATAATTCGATTACCACCACTTTCGCTTAGATAACTTTTAAGTATGATTATATTTAAACTTTTCGATAGTATTGAATCTTATTGTGTCGTAGGATCTGTCGTCAGGCCGCGTAGGAGTCTCTTTATTAATCAGCGTAGGTTGATTTAACACAAAATATAAGGTCAAGATTCATTTTGCGAAGCCTTCGCGCTCCTGTATATGACTTGTATTCTATTTCTGTTTTGACTGACACTGTACCGCGATCTTGCTCTACTTGCATGTAAACAGAACAACTGAAAAAGCACCGGGCGTGACAAATAACAATACTATTAGCTGAGTCTTTACAAGGTCACGGATTTACGTTCAGCCTGAATGCAATTTAATTCAATTCAATTCTCTCCATTTAAAGGCGTGACGTTTCGTTTTATTTTATTAACGAGCCGTTTTGAACAGAGGACAAAACTGGTTTTCCATTTCGACGTTATCACAGATTAGTGAAAAGTCTTTATGTCAAATCGAAGCGGGATTTTTGACTTTGACAGCTATGACTGACGGTGTTTTTATTGTCATATACCTGTTGGTATTATGCGAGACCCAATTTTTAATGCTTTGTGTGGCTTATAGATGGCACTGTATTGCTACCGGTACTTTTATATTACTGCCAATTCATATTAAATATCGTCAAAACAGTTTTTGTACCAAAAACTTCGAAACGAAGAAATAACAGGTTAAAAAAAACAAATAGTGGGTTTAAATTTCATTATTTATTTTCTCACAAAAAAATTTATATTCTCTAACACATCTCGTTCATCTCTTACACATGTGTTCGAAATTTTTCACAAGTTTTTTGGTAAACTAAACTAGATCATTTGTAGATAATTATGCGGTCTAATCGTTCAATTGTTTTTTTACAATCTTACATCTATCTACTGCCGCAGACACTGCACCGATTATGGCAGAACGGAAACCTGGAAACAACATATCAAAATTAAATACAATTAAAACAAAATTTACAATATAAATACCACACACAATTTACAACAGAAATCAGAATTTGAATCAAAAGGACCCGATCGTAATTTAAACGCTTCAAGACTTATATTTCTTCTCAATAATTTATTTTGGATTGTCAATGCTAGGCAATTTCTGAGTATCGTTTATGAAGGGTTTAAGAAGGTAAGGAGGTAAGGAGAACCGTGTCATATGGGAGAAGTTTGAAAAAGTGGTCCACTTTCATAACTAAATAACAGTTCAAAAATCCTCCAAAATGGCGCTAGCATATGCACAGGGTATGATATGAATTGAGCAGTTGTTAATTGCTTGACGTATGCTGAGTTAGGAAATTTAATATATTTAATTACTACAGTAGCTAGTGACGGTGTAGTATCGTCCGTGTCTACCAATCTAACCCAAAAAATTAAACTAGACTTTACCGTTTTTCTCCAAGTGATATGTTCCCTCAGCGGTAGACCCTGCGGGACTGGTGACATTGTCTTTCAACATGGCTGGATGATCACCAGTTTTGACCATGGCTGCGGAACCCAGGGTGGTTTGGGCGGCCAAACGAAGTGCGAGGTCGCGAGGTAAGCCACAACGAACTCCACCATCAGCTAGAGATTCTATTAGCATGTAAACCTAAGAATCACCAATGAAATTAATATGGGGAATATAGCACAGTTCTTCGCCGCTCTCTCTATTTACTCCGCTAGTTTTCTAAACTAAGTTTTACAAAAGTATGCAATTTTCAGTTAATGTCGATTTCTAAAAACCATTTAACTCTGTGATTAATACCTATATTATATACCTCTAATATTTATACCATCATACCACCATAAACAATAAAAAATACATAGTTTTATAGTTAGTACGACATAACGGCAGAAATAGGCGGGGTGGTGGTTATCTACCCGCTGCGGTCTGACGAGACGCCCTAACGCTAGTAATTACGGAAATTATAATTTTACGGGTTTTATTACACGATATTATTCCATCATCGTGAAAGTCATTCGTGAACATGTGATAAGCAAGTATTTAATTTAAAAAAATTGGTATACCTATGTTCCCCGGATTCGAATACCGGCATAGTTGCATCGCTCGATACGAACGCCGCGAGACTTATCCTTTAGGCCACGAAAACTTCTTACTTCTTTACTTTACTAAGAATGTACTAAGTAAACTTCAAAATTCACTCACATAAGCGGGTCCACTTCCACTAAGGGCGGTTATAGCGTCCATTTGGTACTCTGGTACCTCGTCGCAGGTACCCACCGCCTTGAAGAGCTGTGACGTCAGTTGTGCGTCTTCCGCTGTGGCTTTAGTACCGCGACTAAAGGCAGCTGCGCCTTCTTTCACTAACGCCGGAGTGTTTGGCATTACACGAATCACGCGAGCCTCAGAAGGCAAATTCTAGAAAATATATCTTTACTATTAATCACTTTCAATTGTTGCTGTGTGTTCAGTCCAGTCTGCGAAGTTTTTTGTGGGTAAAATTTGACGCTTGAAAAATTTAAGCTTCGGAAAAGCAGATGAATGATAATTTTCAAGCTTGAGCTACGAAAAATAAAATAAGATGTTGTTGTATTTTTAGATACAAGAGCTCGTTGAATGTATTGGAATCCTAATTCTGTCTAATTTCTGCAGCAATATAACTTTGTAATTGGAAATACATATTAAAGGAATGAATAACATCAATACCGATTCGACTGTAGCGATAGTAATTCCCATGGCAACGGAAATGAAGAGCTTATTCTTTGCCGAGGGCAGGTTTTTTATCTCTTTAAGAGCGGGTACCACGACATCAGGCTTGACAGATACTATCACCACTTCAGACCTCTCCACCACGGATATATTTTCGAATAACGCTGTAGCTCCCAAGCCCTGGAATGCAAACAAAATCATTTTTATTAACACAATTTTAACAATATCATACCAACACTTACTGGTACCTATTTTTACCATAGCGGGTAGTTAACGGGATACGACAAATGAGTCGACTATTATCAAAGCCGGCAATGTGACTTTTGGACAATTATTGGTAAATCAGAAAAACGAATTATTGACTTTGTATTCCATTGGTAGTCACAAAACTCTTCTGAACGACATCTTAGATAAATAACAGGTTAAGTATTAACCTTTATTTAATGCAGGTTTTGAACCGTATTCTTTGAAGGAGACGATTATATTCAAATCAATCTGTATTGACNGGACAATTATTGGTAAATCAGAAAAACGAATTATTGACTTTGTATTCCATTGGTAGTCACAAAACTCTTCTGAACGACATCTTAGATAAATAACAGGTTAAGTATTAACCTTTATTTAATGCAGGTTTTGAACCGTATTCTTTGAAGGAGACGATTATATTCAAATCAATCTGTATTGACATATCAATAACATTTTTTTTGTCCAAATGCACAGATAATAGACGATAATTTGATAATAGACGACTCAAATATTCCTCAAAATAAACAAAACAAAAAATGTAAAACGTAATAACTGTAGATTTATTGGTAATAAAAAGTCATGACGTCAAATGTGCAAAAGCAATAAGATGACACATGCATTTTCAATGCAAAAGTTCAAAACGGGTCATTTTGGCCCGTTATGGTGTGTTTAGTGTTAATAGCTTTGTGTGGATGTAACGGAATCTTTGAACCCATTTTCACAGACTTCAGGACCTCCCATTAAAATTTGCACAAGTAGCAAAGACCGATGATAATACAATAATTTTATATCTTCCATCTAATATCCTGAATAGTTTCCACAGAATTTGAAGGCAAGTTAAAATTAATTGTTAATTCGTTTAGCTATTTTAGAGACGTTTCTTAGTTTTTAAACTAGACATTATTGTTTTGTTTATAAATAAGTGTATTCTTTAATGTCCTTATAAATAGGACACGAATTGCATAAATATTTTATTTAAAAAAAAACCTGAAAAGCTTTGGCGCTGGCAACATCAGAAGGATGACAGCTAGCTGTGATTTCGTCGGGTTTTGCCAGACCTGAAAATGAAAACGATAAAAATGAATATGATCCTCATTTACAGTTTTTATTGGTGATCATGGAGCAATGAGTTTTTACGTATGTACATATGGTCATTGTCTTCAAATCGTTGTAAAATCAGAAGACGAAAAGTTATTTCAATTTAATGTTGTGACGTATTCATATTACTTTTTATTCCTATTTTCGCGAGAGAACTGTTTTGCAATAATAATGAGACTTCGATCTCAAGACAATGAATGCTCTCGTTATTATGTCTAAGAGATCTGAAAACCACTAAGTTTTAAGTTTAAGTTGGCCTGGCTTCCACTGGTCCATTATTAGCTAATAACATTCTCGAATTATATTTACCCGCCGAAATAAAGCCGTTCGCCAAAGCAAACGCAAGCCTGCCGCCGCCTATAAATCCGATCTTCATAGCTTCTATTAATGGTACTGGAATTAAACAAAGATGATTAGTTCATATAAATTATTTGTATGCTGCTTTAATCAAATACCAAATGCGGCTACACTACTGTAGAATGAAATGAAAATAATCAGCAAAAAGACTCATATAGATATTATTTAAATACTGTGTATACGTAGCTAAAACATACTAGAATAGATAGACTTCACCCAGCACTACACACTAGGTTGATTTACAGAACACAAGTTTTTCAATAAGAAGCCATTCCTAGGACAGGAAAAATTTTTCAATGAAAACTAAATTAAGTCTTGACGCAAAAGACACAATTCCAACTAGACTTTGTCATATAATGTNAAAAAAAAAAAAAAGATATATTTCTAAGGTCTCAGTATTGTCACAACGGCTACCCCACCCTTCAAACCGAAACGCATTACTACTTCACGGCAGAAATAGGCGGGGCGGTGGTACCTACCCGTTCGGACTCACAAGAGGTTCTACCACCAGTAATTACGCAAATTATAATTTTGCGGGTTTAATTTTTATTACACGATGTTATTCCTTCACCGTGGAAGTCAATCGTGAACATTTGTTAAGTACGTATTTCATTAGAAAAATTGGTACCCGCCTGCGGGATTCGAATATCGTTGCATCGCTCGATACGAATGCACCGGACGTCTTATCCTTTAGGCCACGACGACTTCCTAAATGTACTGTAGAATGAAATGAAAATAATCAGCAAACAGACTCATATAGATATTATTTAAATACTGTGTATATGTAGCAACATGTAAAACATACTAGAATAGATTAACTTTACCCAGCACTACACACTAGGTTGATTTACAGAACACAAGTTTTTCAATAAGAAGCCATTCCTGGGACAAGAAAAAAGTACATACATATTCTTGAAAATACCTATATAGTATAAATGAACACGACAACTAATTCTAGCTTACGTTTTATCTTTTTCAATTAACACTAAATTAAATCTTGACGCAAAAGACACAATTCCAACTAGGCTTTGTTATATAATGTTGGATGCGACATAGCAGTGGCCCTGACATTACCGAAGTTCATGGTCCATGACCACTTGTCGTCCTGTGAGTTCGTCTGCCGTCAACAGCAATACAATAGACCACAGCATTTAATTAAAAAACAATCGGCTAATGTCATTCAATCCCTGAACTGTATTAGATGTTGGCCGTCCTGCCCATTTGTCCATTGAGGTAGTCATACTTTTCGGCTCGAAGGACCATTCAATCCTAATGTAGATCACGTGTCTCGAGGCTATGATTTCTATGAGGCGTCATCGTCAGCCTATAGCAGTCCACTGCTGGACATAGGCATCTCCATTTGCTCGCTACTGAGCACAATCTTCGGCGTCTCTCATTTTGCTCTTGCTAGCCACCCTGCATAAGGACATAGTAATCGTTTACCACCAAATGCGGGAAGTTTTTACAAGAGGTGATTGTGTTAATTGTCTATTATTATTGTATGCCTTCTGTATCTGTGATAAAGTTAAATACAAATAACAATACAATAATAAAAATAAAACATTTAACTGTATATTAATCATATTATTATGTACGAGTACTACTAAAACTGTGATATTTAGTTATTTGGAAGTAACTTGCGTTCTCCGATACTTGTATACTCTTATTAATGTACAAGTCACGTCAATGGAACATGATGTAATAGTTCGTTTTATTTCGGATGTCATGTTTTCTTTAATTGTTATATTACTTCGCTTGATTCTTAAGATAGGCTAAGAACAGACTTCCTAGACTCTGGGGCCTATAAGAAAGTTTTACTATTAAATTATTCTGTTTTTCTAAATCAAACAGAAGATTTTTTCGTGTAACACCTAGAGAGATTGTTTTAAATATTTGGTTCGATTTAATTAGATACAATTTAATAGTAAAACTCTATCAACAAACATGTCGAAAGTGTAACTTCGGTAGAAAGAGAGAGAAAACTATTTTCTGTCGTTTTTGAAATTGAAATCTTTTAAAATCTAATCGTGTATTTTCAATAATTCAAAAAAGTTTAACTACGGAAAAAAATCCAACAAAATACGTCTTTTAGAACATTATAAATATTTTTATTTATTTATTTAAATGGAACAAATCTAATTCATGTCGATATTGTGTTTAATCAATTGAAAAACTTAAAATATATAAAGTTAATAACATTATTTCCATAAATAGAACATGTTATTATGTGTATCTAAAAATAACTAATCACGACTTACATTTTCTGACGTAAAGTACGTCACGCGCAAACTCCACAGCGTTCGACCACTGACTGATCGAATTGAGTTTTATTTAGTCCATAGGTTATATTCTTATTAGGAACGTTATCACTGTTATCACTTCAAAGAGACAAAACTGTTATTATTATACGAACGATGCAATTACAACACATATTTTTAGCAACAAATATTACGTGTTCTAAGGCATTGTTTGAGGTTTTCATTTGTTATTGTTTTATAGTCGTGACTTAAACGCCTAGACGACCTATGTACTCGTATCGTGCTAAATCCCATAGATAGGTACCTACTTATTTTTCTAATGAAATACATACTTCATTCTATTCACAAATGAGTTCCACAGTGAAGGAGTAACACCGTGTAAACAAAAATCAGAACCACAAAAAAAATTTTGTTACTTTAGAATACCGACAAGACGTCGTGTCTCAAGGCGACAGCCACATTGTGATGTCCATGGGCCTCGGTAACACTTAACATTGATTAATTAATGTATTGATTGCACAATGTTGTTCATTCATCTTGGAAGTCGTTTGTGAACGTGTATTAGATATGTATTTTCTTTATAAAACAACAACACGTGTCTGCGGCATTTGAACCCCGGCACAATCACATCGCTCGAGACTAGTAGTACACAGAGCGTCTTATCCAATAGGCCACGACGAATTAATGTACTGGAATCTTATTAAATAGCTTTTTTTGCCAACCTATTGCTAATAACAATAACCTTGAGGGGTTATGGTAACTTCACCTCACGGGACTCAGCCTGGGAGACTTTGCTAGTAAGAGCAGTGCTGAATCTACCACCGGATCGGTATCGCGATCCACTGAGATCCAGCAAGAAGCTCAGTAGGTTGTGCCTGTGGGTTAATTTACACGACTAACCCTTCGTCGCATTCGACGGGTTCGACAAGAACAGTGACCGGTGTTTGGAATGCCTAAAAGCACCGATAGAGGATCGGGAGGATCCGAAAAGACTAACGCAGCCAGTACACTGGTGGTAGGACCTCTTGTGAGACTGAACGGGTAGGTACCACCACCGCGCCTATTTCTGCCGTGAAGCTGTAATGCGTTTCGGTTTGAAGGGCGGGGCAGTCGTAACTATACTGAGACCTTAGAACTTATATCTCAAGGTTGGTGGCGCATTTACGTTGTAGATTGTCTATAGGCTCCAGTAACCACTTAACACCATGTTGGCTGTGAGCTCGTCCTCCCATATGAGTAATAAAAAAAAATCGTCCAAAGATCTAATGACCTTTCTTTGACAATTATCAGCCTACAAGAGAGGAGTCGTTTAAATTGCTTTCACGATCGATTCACGAATGAACGCAATAGTTGCCAATTACTGGAGGTTCGCTTCAATAAAACATATTTGTAGATCAATTTACGGCAATTGGTTGCTCACAGTCAGCCTTGACGACAATTTGCCGTCAGCTTGTTTAAATGAAATAGAGCCATTAATATTCTACATTTTACGTTGTTCGTATTCTCGTAAGTATTGTTGAATGTAACATATAGTTTGTTTAATCACTGTAAAACGAAAATTACTATTATAATAATATAAGGATGCGAAAATATTCCAGTAGTGTTATTTATGATTAATTGGTGTTGATGTCGTATAAACGAAATAATACAATTTTTTAACAGAATAGATAACCGAGTTAGACAATGATAAAACTACAATATCATTATTAAAGTCGAAGTTACATAAGTAGGCATATTTGAGGTTAGCTCAAAAAGTACTGGTCAGGTCTTGGTAAATGGGACCACTTGAGAAGTATCAGCTGTAAATATAAAAAAAAGAATCATCAAATCGGTTCACAAGAAAGGAAGTTTCTGAGGTAATTAATATACACAAAAAATGCAATTGAATTGAGAACCTCTTACTTTTTAGAAGTCGATTTAAACTGTTTTGGCATAATGCCTTCATTAATAAACCTATTTTTTATTTATTTTTTCCTACCTATTCTGATAGCCTTGAGAGGCTATTTCAGCTTCACCCTAACGTTTGTAGGTGAGCTCACGGGGCTCAAGACGGAGAGTTGCTAACACTGACCCTAGCAAGAGCAGTGCTTCGCAGAATCTACCACCGGTTCGGAAACGCGATCCACTGAGAAGATCCGGCGAGATCTATAAACCTATAAGTATTTAACATTAGTTTGTAACTTGTCTTCAAACTGTTTTTTTTAAGGGTTGGAAGTCCATGATAATGTTTCTTTCTTCATACTGATCTGAAAAAGCCTCTGGGATCTTGAGAACAACTGAGACGAATCGAATGTGCTGAAATCCTTCCAAAGGTTCAGGCTGTAAATCTTTTCAAAGAATTTAACGTACCTACATTAACTTATGTTAAACATACGTTTTTAAGGTAAAGTTTTTTATCAGGTTCTTTTTTTTTTCAAAAATTATTTAGTAATTTCTGCAAAATATATGAAAATAAGCTCAGGACTAAAAGGGTTAATTTAGAAATTTGTGGGACAATGTTTATAAAAGTACGAGGACACGAAAAACGATTTATAACTTAAATCTTATTTTTAAGCTTTTTTTTATTTGCATGGTTGGACTCACAAGAAGTCCTACTACCAGTTCCTAATTACGCAAATCACAATTTTGCGGGTTTGATTACTAGCTTACTTATCTATACTAATATTATAAATGCGAAATGCGAAATGCTACTTTTAAAAGCTCTTTCAATTCGAATTCACATTCAGCGGCGTTATTAGCGATTTTTATTTTAAAAATGAGTTACTCTCCATATGGGTTACTTTTCATGAAGAAATCACTTTTTTTTATTTGCCTATTAGCCAGTAGTCTCTTAGGGCTATTCTGGCTAGACTTTGGTTAGTGACCGAATCACAGGGCCCAGTTTGAAAGAATTTACTAATATCTGCCCTAGCAAGAGAAGTGCTACGCTGAATTTATCACAAATTGAAATCGCGACCAACTCAGAAGATCTGGTGGAAATTCTGTTAAAAGAAATCGCAAACCTCATTTTCGTTTCATTTTGGGTTTCGGTTAAATTCGGTTCGGTCTTCCGAATCGAATTTTTTAATGTCGCTTGGGATCAAGTGACAAATATATCTGTTCAATCTAGTCCATATCTAGTCATATATCTATCATAAAGACGCTTCGTCTTCTCGCGGATCGTAAGAAATTTTAGGGTTTTTTTTCCTTTTTACTGTCTTCAATTTAATATGACGATAAGCGTCCATTTTTTCAATCATCGTATCAATTCAATCACCAACAGTTTTGTTGATAGCCAAAATTGAAACTATAGTTTTCCTTTTGTCTTCGTTTATTTCTTGATGAATGTTTGTTGTTCTGCAGTTGTTTCATTAAGACAGAGCGTGTGACACGCTGAATGCCAATTAATATAGCGGCTGGATCCACAAATACAGATTGTGTCTCAATTTTTAGCTCGCGAACAGTGCGAGTTCGAATAAGAAAACGGCTTTGTAAGATGTTTTTTTTTATTTTTTATTTTTTTTATTTGCTTAGATGGGTGGACGAGCTCACAGCCCACCTGGTGTTAAGTGTTTACTGGAGCCCATAGACATCTATAACGTAAATGCGCCACCCACCTTGAGATATAAGTTCAAAGGTTTCAAGTATAGGTACTTACAACGGCTGCACCACCCTTCAAACGCATTACTGCTTCACGGCCGAAATAGGCAGGGCGATGGTACCCACCCGCGCGGACTCACAAGAGGTCCTACCACCAGTAATTACGCAAATTATAATTTTGCGGCTTTCATTTTTATTACACGATGTTAATCCTTCACCGTGGAAATCAATCGTGAACATTTGTTGAATACGTATTTCATTAGAAAAATTAGTACCCGCCTGAGATTCGAACACCGGTGCATCGCTCAACACGAATGCACCGGACGTCTTATCTGTTAGGCCACGACGACTTCAAAAGATGTGGGGCGGCTTTTTACAAAAATATAGATGCCAAGTTCCCCCTATTCTTAAAATCGTGATCGTTCTGTAATAATCTTGTAATAATAATAATAATAATAACAAGCTCCTATAGCTTGTTATTTACCCAAAAATATATTTCTTACCATGCAAAAAGCCACAATTTTAAATACATGCCGAACTGTTCGGAAGTTTTTGCAGGACGAAACATCAAACGAAACTAAAACTGAAAATGAACTCCACTTGGCGTAGGCCCGTGGCTTTTTCAATATTTACCGAAATTCGAGAATAAAAACTTTGTACATAATAATAATAATAATAATAATAGAATTGTTTCATTTCAGCCTATCGCCGTCCACTGCTGAACATAGGCCTCTCCAATAGATTTCCAGTGCGACCGGTCCATTGCCACCTGCATCCAACGAGACCCAGCGCTTTTTACTAGGTCGTCGGTCCATCTAGTAGGTAGTTTGCGACAATTCCTCAAACATCGTGTAACCAATGTCTATAACACGGTACTCAGTCACGTTGACCTTTATGACCGTATATGAGCCGATAAGCTCAGATAATCAACAAATGTACGTTACGAATGCAATTTTATCCTTTTTAATGTGGTTTAATGTGTAATTTATCGATGGGATGTCTAAAAATGGATCATCGTGGTACACTCAGAATGTTGTATCGGTTTTAATTAAATGCATATCTTTGTTCGTCGGACAGTTAACGTAAAATAGGAATGCATGCGCTTTAATTAAAAACTAGAGGTCCCGCAGTAGTCGAAATTCGACTATAATTGGAATTGTAAGTTTGTACACTATTATGATTGTATTTTATACTTCTATAATCACAAATTTCGCCAGGGCTACACTATAAAAAAATATTAATAAAGACAATAATTTAACAAATATTAATAAAGAGAAAATAAAAAGATAATTTAATCTATTCTTAATTTGACCACAGACGTCAAGAACAAAATTTTGACAATAAATAGTAGGTATGCATGCGTGTGTGCGTCAAATACATGGTATGTAGTGTGTGTAATGTTTTCTTTATTGATTTAATGTACCTATCTTTTATGCATTATTTTAAAAAAATATTAGCATTATGCACTTCTTCTCTATATTCTCTATAAGTGTGGAAAATTTCATACTCCTCCGTCCGCGCTATTTTCGTAAAAAGGTATACATAGTTTTTGCTTCACGTATTAAATATAGATATATGTTGTCTTTGATAAGAGTTGACCTTTAGACGGGTATTCGAACTAATTTTTAATAATCGAATTTAATTCACTGGATTGTACTGATTATGATGTTTTGCCGTTGTATTTTTTTTTTAAAAGGTGTATATTTGAATTAAAAATATTGATAAGATTAAAGCCAATCAAAACTCTAAAAAAAGAAAAAAAGGGTCGTAAAAACAGACTAAAATGGGACTTTAATGTTACGTCTTTGCCTATTTATATTATGTAGGTGTTAGATAAAAATTGTCCTCCAGAATTCTAAATTTTGACGTTTAACTAGATAGTTTGTTAAAAGTATTTCTATTTTTTTATATTCCTTTAAAATTTCACTCTCATGTTATAAGAAACCTCATATTATTTAGCTTTCTGTACTTATAAGTTAACAAGAAGAGAAGAAAGGGTATGCCTAGATGTAGTTTTTGTTGAAAAATGACGCGTAAACTAATTAATTATATTTAAAACTTAAATATTAACGGAATTCTATAAAAAAAAAGACTTTGTAAGTTTATTTAACTGGGCCATTTCGTTATTTTTTTCAGATTAGATATTAATAAGCTCATTTTTTTAAGTTGGTGGCTGTTACCGATATAGATTGTATGTACTTACATTTCAGCATGTTCAAATTGCATTAATATTTAATTAAAGCACATCAAATATAAACATTAACAAAGACTTTTAATTTTTTGTTTTACTTATTTTGCTTTTCAATTTATTCGAATGATGTACGCATCAGAATCATATCAACAGTGCTACCACAACCGTGCCTATAGTTGGACTGCACGAGTGTGTGTCAAGTGATAGGGATAAAATGAACAAACGTGGGATATTTATTTCATGATGTACATAATATTACTGTGTAAATATTCAACTAATTAGCGTTAGTTCTGTTTGAGTCAATACAATATCGTTCTCTCGGCTCATTCGAATTATTTATTACAATCGAATGAAGTTTAAAGATGCTACATATCGACGCTTGAAAGGCAAACGTGACTAAGCGACAATGCATGAACTTTACAGTAGACTAATTTAAAGTTGAAATACCCGTAGTAGAATATCTGTAGGATTGAAATGATTTTGATAGACCTAGAAATATATTTTTTTTGCGCATCGAATATGGTTATTGCCTATCATTTATGTACAAAGCAGTTATTGTCGCTTAGTCACGTTTGCCTTTCAAGCGTCGATATTTTTATTTGGTTCTACACTCTATGACACCCCCAATGCCTTTGGTTTGTTTTTTTTTTAATTCACGCCGCCTCTCTCACTTTCGGTGTGTAAGTCGCATTGGCGATTCCGATTCGGTGTTAGTTTTGGTGAAGCACTGCTCTTTTTAAGGCCAGTTTCAGCAATTCTTTCAAGTTGAGCCCGTGAGCTCGCCTACCGGTCCGACAGTAATTGGAATAGCCTCTTAGGCTAGAAATAAGATCGCATTGCAAAAACAAACTAATTTCAGCTACGTTTACCAGGCAATATCTAAGGCAAAGTTTGTAATTTATTTAACAAAAGTAGATCTTTCATTCTTTGTTCTGCATAGCCATTCAACGCTTTTATAACTCGACTTACGGTTTCCCTTACAGAAGAATTTTTTTAAAGAAATAAGTGGTGTCTTCATTTTTTTATTAGCCTGTTATATTGTTCAGTGCACACAAAAAGGTTGACCAGGCAAATTTATTATATTGCCCGTTTTGGCTGACGACCACACGGTTCACCTGATTTTGAGTGGCTACCGTGGCTAATAGACGTCAGCAATACCAGGGGCAGAGTCAAGCCTGCCTACTCTTAAACTAATTTTTACTGATTTTAGAAATCATTCGGTCAAGAACATAAACTCAAAAAGTATTTTAGTAGTGTAGTTAGTTGAAGAGACGAACCCGTAAACGGGATTTTAGTAGCATTTTAGTAGCAAATATTATACCGATGTAAGTTGGAATAACAGTGTAATAGAGTCGTCTATTATCAAAGGTGGCAATCTGTGCATTTGGACAAAAAAAAATTATTGATATGTCAATACAGATTGATTTGAATATAATCGTCTCCTTCAAAGAATACGGTTCAAAACCTGCATTAAATAAAGGTTAATAGTTAACCTGTTATTTATCTAAGAGGTCGTTCCGAAGAGTTTTGTGACTGCCAATGGAATACAAAATCAATAATTCGTTTTTCTGATTTACCAATCATTGTCCAAAAGTCAGATTGCCGGCTTTGATAATAGTCGACTCAATAACAGGAAATAATTAATGTATACATTTTTCCTGGACTGTACAAAAATGCTCTAGTAGTTTTGTTTATTGAAGTGAAACTTCCTTATCGGCGTTGGAAAAAAATTTACCGTCACATTTTTCGGTTACGCGTCACATTTTTCCGTTACGCGCCATCTTTTAATTAACGGCTGTATGTTCTGAAGTATGGATGCGCATTTGAGAAACCGACCTCATGTCTCAAGGTGGGTCACGGAATACATTTTGTAATTGCAATAATCCCAGGTAACCCACTTAATATCACGTGGACCGTGCTATTATTGTTATTACGTAAAATAATAGGAAGAAAAGTACCAGGGTATTATGATATCAAAGAGATGTATTATTATAACTTTACTCTGACGTACAGCCTTCTTTATTAATTAACGGCTGTATGTTCTGAAGTATGGATTCCGATTTGAGAAATTGACCTCATGTCTCCAGGTGGATTACGGAAATCATTTTGTAATTCCAATAATCTCAGGGAGCCCACTTAATAATATCACGTGGACCGTGCTATTTATTACTGTTATTACGTAAAATAATAGGAAGAAAAGTACCAGGGTATTATGATAGCAAAGAGATTTATTAATAATTAACGGCGGTATGTTCTGAAGCATGGTTTCGGATTTGAGAAATCGACCTCATGTCTCAAGGTGGGTCAAACTTCACGAACCTCAGGAACCCCATTTAACACCACGTGGACCGTGCTATTATTATTAATTTATAGGAAGAAAAGTACCAGGGTATTATGATATCAAAGAGATGTATTATTAAAATGCTGTAATAATCTTAGTAGCAAAAAGGTAAAGTGAAATAATTGTATTATTTGTATTCATGTCTATGATAATAAAATCCTTTTGTTTAAACTTTATCTAATTTAACTTTATTTAACCAATTTCTAGAAAGTTGCATGTAGATCATTTTTCGAAAAATAAGGCCATAAACAAGTTTCACTTCTTACGTGTGTACACTAGTACACGCACACATTTTTTTTTCTTAGTCGTTAATTTTGAATGGCCTCCGGATTCGATTGAATAATAGGGCGACCTAAAATTGAGTACTCGTAGTAATAAACAATCGTGGAAGACGGGGCAATGGAAGCGGAGCAGTGGCTTGTGAATGACATACCTAAGTCTTTGTGAAGTTGTAACAAAATACAAATAGAGCATTAGACAAGTTTCATAAGGGTCGTAATTTTTTAATTGCTTCGAAGAATGAACGAGATCTCACCGATCACCATCCGACGAGCGAATTAACCCACAGACACAGCCCACTGAGTTTCGCGCCGGATCTTCTCAGTGGGTCGCGTTTCCGATCCGGTGGTAGATTCTGCGAAGCACTGCTCTTGCTAGGGCTTAATTGTACTTTTTTTGTTTTTAGTGTATCGCACTGTTTATTTGTTTTTTTTTTTTGGTTTACAATAAAAAATACTCTCTCTCTCTCTCTCTCTCTAGGGCCAGTGTTAGCAACACTTCCAGTTTGAGCCCCGTGAGTTCACCTATATGTTAGGGTAAAGCTGAAATAGCCTCTCAAGGCTATCAGCATAGGTAGGGGAAAAAAAAGAGCTCTCCACCCGCTTGATTTTATGTGGCTACCGGGCCCATAGACGACTGTCCTCACAAAGCGGGACTCGTAACTAATTGCCAAAAATAGGCTGGATCTACCCACGTACCGCCGATATCTACGCGTGCGATTATACATTACGCTCTAGCATCAGTAATTAGTATGTTGCGGGTTGAATTACGTGGCTCATTCATTCCGTCCAAGTTTGCTAGAAACTGAATCCTCATAGTACAACGACCTATCTATCGTAAGCGGCCTAAATTCCGCGTTTAAGGGTGCACAAAATCATTTTGCAATCTTATGATTTTCATTTTGTATCCCTAATCTTATTTGTTAATATTTCTCCGTTTCTTTACTCCGCTCCGGTGGACAGGCACCTTAATGTAGGGCTTTGTATTAACCAAAATCTTTGTTCTTCATTATCTTCTTGTTGACCTTATCCTACATTGTGTGGTATCGGCGTAGCTCCTATCATGTTACATAGGGATTGGACATCAGTTTTAAGACCTTTCAGACGTTAGCCTTTCTTGGTTGATACTTATCTCCAAACATCCATTAATCATAATCTCCCTTTAGTACCCATTGCCGGGCATAGGCCTCCCCTTTTATGCAATAATAATTCGATTGTCCGCCATTCTTATCTACGTCTGCCCTCGTAATAATAAAATCTATTTTTTGTCTACTTTTAGTAAGTACGTATTCTAAAATTTAAACTTCTAAAGCAAGTCTTCGGTAGTATAGTGGTCAGTATCCCCGCCTGTCACGCGGGAGACCGGGGTTCGATTCCCCGCCGGAGAGATCTTTTTTGGTTTTGCTTATTTCTCCATAAGTTTTGTTACGTCATTATAATTTTTAATTTTATTATTATTTGTATGTATGACATTTATTTACGTATTATTATTTATTCGTAGATTATTACATTTATCATGTATAAAGCTTATCATTGAAATGATTTCAACCATCGATATTTTAGCAATTGGTTTTCGCGAGGAGAACAGAAAAGTGAAATATATTGGACATTACCTAAGGTGAATCATTTTGTTAATTTTCTACTTTTTTATTTTACAAGTATGGGCCTAAGAAACTGTAAAACGTGTTCTAGCTAACGCCATCTATTGGCTAATTATGCTATTATTTACTGTAGATTAAACAAACAAAAATGGGTCCTTCATAATACCTACCTAAATTCTTGTTGAAATACTGTGGTTTATAAATTTCGTTGTAATTAGTTGTAGGTTTACATAATATAAACATAATTATTACGCTTCATTCGCACAGTTTTATTTATTCCAAGACATGGTCTAAGGAGTGACGTATACCGATCCTGATACGCGTCTTGCAAAAAGTAAATAAATTAGGGTGGCGACACTGTCGCATAAGGCGAAATTTGATGGGTTTGTTCATTTAATTTCACTTTAGGCGCTTAAACATAAGTGATCATACTTTTATATTATGAATTTTACACAAATTATGAAAATTTTAGGTTTCAAGATTTTCTTTAAACAATAAAATTTATAGTCTATAATAATATGTGATGTATCCGGTGGCCTTCTTCCGTATTATTTTTATTCGAAATCTTTCAAAATACAACAATTTCTCTAAATTTAGTCGAACAAGGATGAAATTTTCTTTTTTTAGCACTGTCACAATGGAGAGCTTTTAGAGTGGGAATCTAAGTATAATCTATGGTATGACGTATTTTAAGGTAGAAACTAATTCAAGGCATTTAGCGGGTAACAGTAGATGTTAATGACAAGTTATCGTAACAAAACAGCTGCTAACATAATATAAGGTTGATGGGAAACAAAAAATAGATCATTTTGAGCTTTGAGCTCTTTGCCGATCATCAGGTGGGCAGAAAAAAGTAAAAAGTATCTATGGAATTGAGCTCCACTTGAATGTTTGACCTTGATGACCAATGATCACCTTTTCTGAGACATCATTTCATTTCATCCCAGTTAATCCAATTCGTTCCATAGTCAATAGTATTTCACTGCTCATGATACAAAATTAGCCAAATATGCCAAATAGCATTTCTTCCCTTTGCCTATCCAATTTATCGTTTCAAACAAACAAGCCATATTTTGTTTGTTGATGAAGATTGCGAAACTTTGAAGATACTTTGAAGGTTAGAGTTTATGGCGGGAACAACTTAAATCGATTATATTAAATAAAATTATAATAAATACAGAAAGTATATAAAAAGAAATATAATAACCAATCAATTAAAAAAACCAATAAAATAATCCGATAAAGGTAGGAATAAAAAGCAAAACAATCGTTCCATATAATTGTGATGACAATGTAGTAGTTTTATTTTAAAATATCGATCAAATTTTTAAATATTTCATCATTTTCAAAGTAAAGGCTAATCGTTTTACATAAATGTATGGTCAAAAGCTCTTAAGGTCAAAGGTACAAAAGGTCTTACAGTTTGGCAATAACGTTGATAATATGTTGATTCTTTGCTTTCAGCCATGTCTTTTAGGGTTTTGTGTGAATGGTGTGCAGTTTCCTATTGCATATTTTGTATGGACAACCTATTTAGTCATTGGGATACAATTCTCCTGTGATGATTCCGTGTAGTATAATTTTAAAATCGTTTTTATAAAATTTCTCGAATTTTAAAATTCCCTGAATGTCAGTGTTTATAGCTTGTTGACGGTGTTCTATGTTATTACTTTTCTTGACCACCTACCTGATTTGCCAGCAGATTTGCTAATTGCTATTAAAAGACGGTGATTTAATGATAATGAATGACGTAAATGTCATGTGCATGACTGACTTTATAAAAATTAAACTTATCAATATTTTTTATTAAAAACAACAATACTAGATTAAAGAAAATAACAGTGCTACAAATAAAATCCACGGGAATTTTATAAATTTTTCCATTCAGATTTACAACTAACCAGAAATTTATTGTATTACCTAGGTATCTAAATTTTAAAATTTATTTGTTCTCTTTTAAATCCCGATCCCTATCCCGTGATTGGTTCGTTCTTTCTCCTTCCCGTACGTAAAAGCGTTTCGTTTTTCAATTTTTCATTCGCGCTCTGTGCGTCGACTGATATGTCGTATTTCGGGCTGTGACGTTCCGTTTGTCTATGGGAGTGTTCGTTCGTATTGAATTTGTGGAAATAAAATTTGATGTCCCGAGAAATAAGAGCAAGTATTGTAATTTTTGCATGACAGTGAATAAAGTAATTGCTTGAATATGGCGTTGGAGGGTGTGAAGAGTGAAAAGTGCGAGGAAAACAACGGCAATGTGCCAGACGGCAAGGCGAACGGGATCGACAACAAGAGTAAACAGGTACTGAACGTTTAAGAAAATTAATTCATTACGACCTTTTTTCTCACGATATCGCTGTGAATTTCATTAATGAACCTGTAAAATTACTGCAGTAATTTATGCAAGTTTTTCTTCAAAGAACTATTCCCAAAATCAGAACCTTTGAGACGTTTTCGCGCAGCTCTGGGCTCTACGTCGCGGGCCCGGCGCTTTGGCTGGGCACACTCCGGGATTGGCGGCCACTAAACCAAAACGGATATGACCTATTTCAGGCTCAAACAGTCCTGAGGTTGCAACTGAATTTCCAAAATTGTCATGGCAATGACTGGCAATGGCACGGCTCGTTTAACGCTGCTCTCTGTTGTTGTTTGCGCCTTTACTTATAAAATGTAAATTTATCTACTATAATCTAAATATATTTTCGAATATCAAGCTAAATTTTTAATATTTTTTCTTAAAGTGACAATTGGTGAATCTGCAGTCACATACCAGTCACAGTCAGCCAATAAGGTTTATCTTAAATATTTCATTGTCATATCAATGTTAAACATTTTGATAATGTCTAGATAACATCTTTAGATATTCTTTATTCCATTTGATGTAAGGTTTATTGGTGTGTATACTTTATTAAAACAAATTTTTGCATGTTTGAATGATTGATAACAAGAAATTGAGCTAATTCAGAAAATAGTTAATAAATCTATTTCAGTAAACAAAATAATTTTTTGTAAAGAATATAATAATTCTTATTCTTAATGAAAATTCTGGAAAGAAAGGAAAGGAGAAATGGTGTACAGCCCAAGGCAAGGAAAAGGATTACAGAGAAAATTTTACCATAATTTGATTCATGGTGTTATGGAATTTGCAGATTCATCTAAATCACTCCCTAAAACTTGTTGATTATTTTTATGAAATTTCAGTTTAATTGCCCATTGAGTATGTGTTAAAGGCCATTTCAATTGACCTAGTCTAGTGACCCAATTAAAGACTGACTCTTTTAATGGACTGTCAAATTGAGTGGCACTTGGCTCCGCAAATGGGTTCTAGTAAAACGGACCTTATAAGTACTTCTATTATACCTCACATAAAACTGCAATACAAGTGCTTCTAAATACTTAAGATAATCACAAAGAAAAGTTGCAATATGGCCCTTAGGTGTTTCTGATGGTCATCGGATTAAAGACTTTTTGGTCTTTGTCCTGCAAATCTTCATCCACAATCACTGGACGAATATTTACATGTATACTTTTGGTATTTCGTAACTTATAATTGGATGTAAATGCAAAACTGAGTTTGTTTTTTTGTTTCATGCCTTAACTATTATACCTATCATGCAAATGTTTATAAATGCCGTTAGGGTTATAGGTAGACAAAGACATTCATTTCTGATCTATTTCATTCATTCCCAAGGGATTTTTAAATGTGAGTAAAGACACAAGTAAAACTTCATGTACTTACCTAAGTATTATGTACTTACTTTAGTAAAAAGACTGTGGTTAGAGACATTACAATAAAAACCTCTTTATTTGAGATAAATACATAAAACCAGCTTTAGATCAGCTTCTATTCGAAGCACATTTGTATCACAAATTTTATTCTAAATATATTATTGGTGAAAAAATCTAATGTTGTTGTTTCTTTTATCTGTAACGTTTGCCAAAAAAACATAAACATCAGATTGTTTAAAGAAACACCTTTATAAACTGGTTTGTTAAAATTATGTTCACATCATTGCCGCAAACTAGGAAAATCAGAATTTCTTTTAATTATTAAAATGATACAACATGGAAGTAATTACGGACTCTACGAAAATATAAATGAGCGCATTTTATAGTTTGCATGACATCACCGGCAAGGCTTGCCAGCATTCATGGTGGTGGACCTTGCTGCCGGTCATGTAATTACGTAATTATCTATAGAACGTCGCGTGTGTGACGACTTATATCGTAAGTTGCGTAAATTCTATCTTGCAATTTTCACGGTAGATGTGGCATGCTCAGTCTTGTAAGCGAAAGGTCAGACTAGATCGTTAACGGCACCCCATTCTAGCAACATAATGTCCGTGCAGATCCTAACTGAAAATCAATATAAATTCTCGAACAGACAATAGAGAGTTGTTGATAAACGTGGTCACTGACTGATTTCGGATATTATGTGTTTTGTTTATTTGACATAATTATGCATTTTATGAAGGGACTAGCTTTTGCCGGCGACTCCGTCCGTGTGGAATAGTTTACTTTGGCATTACGCTAAATTTTACCCCCACTTCATTTACATAGAAAGTGAAAATATTTTTGAATTATAGAATGTTAAAGAAGCTATTTAAACCCCTATTTTGAATCATTCTTTGTTGGTGCTCCACTTGTATTGGTCTTACCATGCTGTTATATAGCATATAGCTTTCCTCAATAAATGGGTTATCTAACACTGAAAGAATTTTTCAAATCGGACCAGTAGTTCCTGAGATTAGCGCGTTCAAACAAACAAACTCTTCCGCTTTATAATATTAATAAGTATACATAAATTTTTTATGCAACCCGGTAATATCCGCTTAAACGACTATACTGTATAAACTGTACTGAGTAAGGTATAAAATTTTCAGGAAACTACAATCCTTTAAGAGGTTGCCTCTAAAAGTTCTTGTATTCTTTAATTTTATCGTGAATATGATGCTCGTATGGGCACGATACAATATTAGCTATTTCGAAAAATTAAAATTCTCGAACGTACAAGGTCGCGATCGCAGATTTTCGATAGCGTGGTAGGTCATACATAGCAAAGGAGGTGCGGCCGACGTTTTCCGTGTATTAAACTTTTTTTTTTTCGATTACCATTAATAAGTGTTTGTTAACGGACAATAATCAATTATCTGTATTCTTATGATGTAATTCTAAAAAAATCACAACAAACAGGCAGTGTCTACATTAAACAAGCCTAATGTAATCAATTTTTAAAAAAACAATGGCGTATCTGTTATTCAAAATGTTAAGTTTAGAATTTAACATAAATTACAGCATCAGAACTGTAGGTTAATAGAGAGGGCAATATTAAAAATAGAAATGTGGTTTACAATATGCTGTTTAGAGTTTCATTGACTACTGGTTGATTTGTTCTATCCAACTCAAGAAGTTTTCCAAAATAGCCTCACAAGGTGATGAGGCATATTCTAAGCCTAAAATACCCAATAGTGATAAGAATACTAAACAAGCAGTGTTTATTTATTTGTAGATTTTGAATGAAAATTAAGATCAGCACAAAATATCCGTATCTTTGAGCCTTGAACGTGACGTCATTTTTGAAAGAGGGGGACTGCTGTACCCCTCAACGGACGTAGCTTACTGTATTATTGGTGCCAATGACGTCATTCAAATTGAAATCTCGACTAGAAGACTTGAAAACTGGAAATTTGTTAATTAATTAAATAGATATACAGTAAAAACTCCTTATTCGCGCTTTATTCATTTGAGTTTTCACTATTAGTGGATTTCAAAAATGCGACTAATTCCTATATTCGCGGATCTAATCGGTACAGACACGTTGATAAAAAGGATTCCATTATGTAGGTATTCAACCGAATATTCTTTATAAACGCGTTATCAAAAGACTAATAAAATATATACAAACTTATAAAAAAGTTATATAAAGTATGTTGTTAAATGATATCGTCGATGGAATGGTTCTGAAATGGCCTTTGAAACAAGCTCGGTCGGCGTTTTTAAAAATGTAACCAAACAGAATGAAATCAACCTTATAAAAGTATTATTATTTATTCATCATTCATATCCAACCTTTGGTAACAGCCGCATTACCATATCTACCATATTTACGGTTTCTATATTCGCGGCATATTTACGGAACAAATACACCGCGAATAAAGAGATTTTACTGTACCTGTTTTATGTGTTAATTTTAGAGTAAATTTTCCCAACAAGTTTTTTTAATATTTTTATTGCATACCTAGTTGGTTGGACGAGCTCACAGCCCACCTGGTGTTAAGTGGTTACCGGAGCCCATAGACATCTACAACGTAAATGCCGCTATCCACCTTGAGATATGAGTTCTAAGGTCTCAGTATAGTTACAACGGCTGCCCCACCCTTCAAACCGAAACGCATCACTGCTTCACGGCAGGAATAGGCAGAGTAGTGGTACCTACCAGTGCGGTACCTCACAAGAGGTCCTACCACTAAGTGAAAATTCGAATTCGTAAATTCGAAAAGGTCAACTTCTAACAGGGGACGTATTTCAGATGATGGCGATGTTTTTTTTTTATTGCTTAGATGGGTGGACGAGCCCACCTGGTGTTAAGTGGTTACCGGAGCCCATAGAAATCTATAACGTAAATGCCGCCATCCACCTTGAGATATGAGTTCTAAGGTCTCAGTATAGTTACAACGGCGGCCCCACCCTTCAAACCGAAACGCATTACTGCTTCACGACAGAAATAGGCAGAGTGGTGGTACCTACCCGTGCGGACTCGCAAGAGGTCCTACCACCAGTAAAAATTAGAAATTCGAATTCGTAAATTCGAAAAGGTCAACTTCGAACAGGGGACGTAGGTATTTCGAATGTTGACGATGAATGTAAAACATTACTTTCTGTGTAATCGAGAATGTATCGCGACACTGTTAATTAATTTCCGGTAAATGTAGACACGAACAGTGAAGTCTTATAAGGGCGAAACCTACACAACCATATGCAACGGGCCAGACCCCTTTTAATCACTCCAGTTCGAGGTAACCATTGTGAATAAATAGGACCATATTAACTACAAGTAAACATTGTTAATATCTACTAATAATTAACTAGTATGTTTCGGACCCCGTTTGGAAATTCTGTCAAAATTGTAAAAAATAAAAACAATATGGATGATTACGGATAACTGGATTAAAATTTTCAAACGGAATTCAAATCGATTCGTTTAAAACATGTGTACCGTTTAAACGACTTGTCGTTTTGAATATCAATTGATCCATTTAGGCCGTAACAATTTGTATGACAACAATATTCAATTGCAGACCT